AATGAAAGTACTTAGTATTAAGATGACCTTCCTCTATCCAATGCTCCTTTAATTTTTTATTTCAAAAACTCAATACAGCTTGGTTGGTTTCAACAACAGAAAGTGTTACCTCTTTTTCAGCTTCTTGCAATGTCTGATTCAGTGGATTACTAACAAGCTGCTGTTGGATACTGCTCAGGTTGCAATTCAGTTCATGTGCTTTTTCTTCAATATTAGCAAACTTGTTTCTGTTAAGTTCCCTCAATCTAGGCTTTAGCATCTTCTGCTTCTGCACCACCTTATATTGTTTAGTCCCCTTGACTACTTGCTCCGATACTTTGCTAACTATATCCCTGAACTCAGGAGCTTGATACCACATATTGAAGAACCTGAATGACTTCTTCTCAGTAAGTTGTTCATCCCCCCATCTGATCAAAAGAGCATTCTGGTATGAAATTCCAGCTGGACAGACTGTAGTAAATGTCTCCTAGAATTATTGAATCCATTCAACATTGACCATAGTTCTGTCTAGCTTGGAATATATTCTGTTTGGCCCCAATTGCCTATTACACCATGTAAAGCTTCCTCCTTGACTTGGCAAATCCCATACTTCACAAGCTTCTATCATCTTCCTAAACTTATTACTGTCAGTGGTTATGTCATCTTGTCGTCCCAACTTTTCATCACTATTCAATATACAGTTGAAATCTCCCATCAACAACCATGCTCCATTAATAGATTGAGATATCACCGAAAGTTCCTTTCATAGATTGATCCTCACTTGGATTAAGTAATCAGCATATATTATAGTCAGATAGTATTTCCCTCAAGTGTGAACTTCTTCCACCGTAAAGTCAATGTATTGTTTGGTTAATAGCTTTACTTGCATTCTATACTCTTCTTTCCTCCATATTACTATAATTTTACCTTTCTCCTTACCTTCGTGATTACTGATAAAGTCATATTGCTGCCATTTCTTCCTTAGCAATTCTTCCACTTTATGTCCTGTAAGTTTGGTTTCTGCAAGTCCTGCTAACCCAATATTATTCACAGTGAGGAAGTTTACTACCTCCCTGTGCTACAGAGGGCTATTAAGCCCTTTTACATTCCATGCTAAGAGATTATTCATGATTGCTAGGCCCTCCAGGAAGGTGACTAGTATCTGAATAATAGATGGATGTTAGTGTCTTCATTTTATCAGTAGTTCTTCCTTCTTCAATTCTCAATCCTTTATGATTAAGGATTTGTATGCCACTTCCAATTGGATTCCTCACATCCACCTTGCTTTTCTGATAGATAATACTCTTTTCTGTAGGGTTCTGATCAACATTTATTGCAGTCTTAGGGCTTGCATGCCTTTCTATGCCATTTCTATCTTCTGTGCATTTTCCTTTCCTGCCTGATTCTTCTGCAGAGTCTTGTCATCTTTTACTTTCCAATCATTCTTAACAAGAACTCTACACACTTTCTGATCATGACAAAATTCTTTGCAGTTATTACATTGGATTGGTTTCCATTAATACACTATTTTCTGCTATTGTAGAACTCCAGTTTCATCCTTAAACCAAACACTTTCCTGCACTTTTTTCTTGACTTCAATTTCTACTAAGAGCCTAGCAAAACCTGTCATGAGCTTTTGAGATGTCATCTCATCCAAAGGATTACCAAGTGTCCTAGTTATCCTGATTAGGGTAGTTACGTTCCAATACCTTAGTTTCAGCTTAGGTAATCTCACCCATATAGGAACTTTCCTCATTTCTCCCATACTGATTTCATCGTCTACTGTCCAATTTCACAATAAACGGCTTTCTATCAAAGTGATAGACATTGTGCTTCAACATCTCCTCTTTAGCAGCCATTGTCTTAAAATGAACAACAAACAGAATATTCTCACATAGCAGAACCTTATCTACCCCCAAAATCCCCAATTTCTTCGAATGAAGCCATTAACCACAGCATAAGTTGGATTTGATCCCAGGACGAACAGATCAAAGAAGGTTTCAAGTAATCAAGCTCCGTTTGAACTTCCTCGTGAGTAACTTTACAAATTGATCGATTATTACCGATCTCAGGTTCAAAATATTTCAGTTTCCTTTCTGCACCTTGTAATTTTTTCAGATCAAATTTATTTCAAGCATTTTCTTCCATATCATCCTTACTCACTTCAGATCCATCCCTTGCTGCAGCATTTCCATGAGTCTTTGATTTTTTCGCCATGGCAACCGCAGATCTGCAGTAGTATTCAAGATCCGATTACAGACAGCCAAGGTGTAATCGCCGGCTGTTGTAAAAAAATTATGATTAGATAACAATCCTTCAATATTTTTCTCTCCGGTCATCGTGCACTTCATTTTTCCCAGTTTATCTCTTTCTTTTATTTATTTCTTTCCCCCTTAAGCTTTTCTTCACAACGATTTTTCTCCAAAGAAAACATGAATAAAAAAGTCACCACCGTTGTAATTTATTTAATGATTTGTTTTGCATTAATCGAAATATTGAAGAAATTTCAAAAATCCAATCAGTAAAGTGATTGATTTGCATCATAATTATATAAAAAAAAAAGAACTCTAAAGACTATCAGTAACCAAATTGTGCAGAAGAAATTCAAGAAGAATTTGTATGATGAACCGTGCAATACGAACTATGTAACAATATTCCCCAAAGTCATAGTCGGGCTCCAAAGTGCCAAAAAAAAAAATGACCACAAACTAAAATCCACATTGCCAGTAAAACCATTGCCTAGCACGGTCAAAACACCAAAATCCACATTCCTGGCAAAGCCAGCTAGTTCTTCACCTATTGAGTCCTACTTCTTCCAAGTGCAAATTGAATCGATGGAAAAAGAAAGGGATGAGAACAAAAAGCTTATCGAGTTATGTTCCAAAGACTAATTCCCCCTCAAGTTCGTTTATAAGGATGAAATCCCCTTTGACCATTATAAGTTTGAAGTCAATGATGCACAGGAGTTAAAATGACTAAAAAAACAAGATGATTATGACTATAGTTTGAAAAAAAAAATTCATAAATTGAATCTACAATTATACTCCAAACTTACTTATAATTTTTAAAATGTAAAGACAAAAAGTACTCCGAACTATATTTATATTTGTTAATATTAAGAATTCAATTTCAGTCAATTTGGAAAAAAAGAATATGAAACCAGATTTCGTTCTAACAATTGCTGCTCGACTCTCGAAGAAATTTTTAACCAGATTTCCCCCTCGAATCTTGAACTATATCATTTTCTATTGATTTTGATGGTATCTTCCATATATACGAACTATCTTTTCATCTTCTTTCAATAACTTCAGTCTAAAAGAAAAAAAACAAAAATTCAGTTTGCTTCCTCTTCTAGTCCTCCATTTTCTCCGCCATTATATTTCATTAGATATTTTCACTTTAAAAATCTAGTTTCATTTCATCTTCATCTATTACTTTTATAGTAAAAAAGAAATCATTTAATCATCTTCTATCTTCTCAACTTTTCATCTTCTCCACCATTATTTTCAATTAATTATGTTCATCACTTTTTAATTTGTTTTTTACAAAAATATAAAAAGTAAGAGTCCATCTACCTTTTCCCTTCTCTTGCTCTTTTAAAAAGTTTACGTATAAAATTATATAAAATTGGCTACAATGCGAAAAAGAGTCGAGTTACAGTTTAAGGGCGCTGAATTATTTGTGATGAAATTATGAAAATTTCTCAACCAAATGTAATATTACTCTTTTGTCACTTTTTAATGACACGGTATTTTTCCTATGGTGTCTCAATTTTTTTGAAACTTACTTTGTATCTCTTGGTAGCCCATTTTTCTATATACATCTACTCCACGTAATTTAAATGTATCCCAAATAAATAAAAAGTTTTTCAATGCAATCGTTTAATAAAATTTATACTTGTGAATAATATTTTTAAAGAAAGGTATAGAACTAATGATTTTTGTGAATATTGTAGATTATTTTTTAACATATCGCAATTGTTTGTCTCTGTATGTTCTTTTTTCATTTCAGTTGTACTATACATTGTATCTATAAAAAATTATTGGAGGCAACGCACGAAACACGTCTAATTTAACTAGTACTTTATTACTAAAAGGAATTACCAAACTCTTCATATTACAATAAAACTAGTCAAGTTTAGTTATTTGTCACAAATCTACAATTAAGTTCCTAAAATAACCTCATAATATTATTAATGACACAAGTTGAAATAGTTTTCTTTGATAGTCGATTAGTTGAGGGGTAAATATTGAAGAAACCATATTTAATGTCCTATTGGAAATGTAAAATTTCTTATATGAAGAAAAATGAAAATCTTGTTCGAAGAACTGCATTGCTTAATTTCGACAAAAATATAATAGTACCTCTACTTGTTTGATCGATCGCACAGGATATGCACAGGGATTAATGAAACAATTATTGAGACTTTAATTTTCAAATAATATAAAACCTTTCTTATTGAATTTTTAAATTTTTTTTCTTAGCATTTTTTTCTGAGCCAAATTCATTAGGTTTCATCGACTCGGTGCAGCTATTAGAGAATACAGCTACTCAATTCTTGGTCCTCTCCTTGAGCCTTTGGAGTGAAAACTCCTCAAATTTCAAGGATAATAAATAATAATCATCATATGAAATTACTCAAAATTCCCCTTCACCCTCGATTCTTACGTCAAACTCCTGAAATTCCCCTTCTTCTTCTTCAAGCTTACATTCTCGCCAACTTTAAAACCTCCATTTTTTGTTGTTTTGAAGCTTCAAACGCTAATCAACCTCAATCAGTTTGATCAACCTCAACAACACGATCAATCTCACCGGCGATTGGCAAGGGAGGTGCATTTTTACGACCCCATATTAGCCGGATGAAAGAGGGTTGCCGGAGACATGGACCAGTGCTGGAGGCAAACATTACGAAGAAGCGCGTAGAAATGGAGACTGCTTTGCACGAAGAAAAAGCTAAGGTAGAGAGGGCTAAAGCTGCTCTACAAGGATTGGAAGTGGAGAATTCCGCTCTTAGGTAGGAGATGGTTGCTGCCGAAGCCCAACTAGCTGGGATGGCAGCTACTTTAGAGGAGTTATTTAAAGGGCAGAGGGAACATCTGATGAAGGTCCGGTCACTGGAGACACAGAAGTCGGTACGTGCGGAGACACTAGCTGCTGAAAAGTGCCAGTTCAATTACCGGAAACTGGAAGTAGAGCGGGCGGAACAAGAACAAGATCAACTGCAGGCTAGGTTAAATTATGTTGTAAAGAAAGAACAGGATGAGATATTGCTGGAAGTCACCCGTCTTAGGGATATGAGAGAAGACACTGATACCACTGGAAATGTGGAGATGGACAAGATAAAATCAAAGGCTAAGAAGGAGTTGAAGGACAAGAAGAAGGAAATTAAATTCCTAAAGGAGAAAAATGCGCCATGTAGGCTGCAAATTTATTTTGCTAAGGCTACTGAACTTCAAGGAGGGGCAGATGCTACCTTTTTGCCATGGGAGAGAGAGTGCCTAATGTGCCTCTCAGAGGAAACATATATTGTATTCCTACCTTGTGCGCAGCAGGTACTAAGTTCAGGATGGAATGATCTCCAAGAGTGATATGAATGTAAGGATTGCCCCACGTGTAATACCCGAATCCAGCAGCATATGCGAGTGCGCTACGCTCTTGCTTGATACAGTTGCCTCATTGTGTTAATCGTTGATTTATATTTATTAAAGTAAAAACAAAATGCATTTATCTTTAGGGGTTGTAATTTGTAAATGATGGTTATCTTTTTTACCGCGAAATTAAGAATTTGTTAGTGCTCACAAAAAAAAATCGTCATACGAAATTAATAAAAGATGGCGCAACAATTAATGTACTACCTCATTTCTTAAAAAAGTGCCCATAATGTATTTAATTTGCAATTTGTAGTATTTTAATACAATTCTCAAAATTTAATGGGGATAAATTTTTAAGAAATGAAAGATTATTATTTTCGAAACCGGATAAAAGGTTCTTCATCTGAAAAGAACTAGAAACGAGAAACGCGCAGTACTCGTGCTGGTTATGTCTTCATTTTTATATTTTATTGAAATGAACTTATGCAACAAATTAAGTAACTTTTTTTTATGTTAATCTTCAAACCAATTCATTTAATAAAATGGTTAGATTGCAAAGATCAAATTAGAATTAGAAGGTAGATGGTTTGTTGGCAAGAAAAATGTGAACACCGTATAGAAGTTCTGTTAGTTTTGTGTTGCTGAAATATAGTTTTCATGATTCACCTCCAAGTAACACACAGTCACACAGTAAAGGACTGTTCCCCTTGATGGATTTGTGGTATTGAACTCCCTTACGCCGCTGTCACCGACAACATCACTGCTATCAGCAACCGGGCAATTAATCTGGGAGAGTAGACCAGCGCTGAGCAAGATGGAGAAGCAGGGCACATGCATTAGGGAATTCAAAACCGCAAAATCCATCGTGGACAGCAGTTACCTATATTTAGTGTATGACTGTGTGTAACTTGGAGATGAAGCATGGAAAAAAAAAAAAAGAAACTAAGAACTAAGATCGCAGTTTGTATTCTTCCAAGATCAAACCTTTATTTATTTATTTATTTTTTTCTGTTATTCTTGGTGGAAAATCTGCAGCGAACTTTTAGTTATAGACGACCGAAATCTGGTTTTGAGATAAGAGGTTTGTTGAGAAGGGATCCGATGCAGTCTTGATGAACCAAGCAAAGAAAGATTCCCTTAATTGTGTTGTGGATTTGTTGATGGTCGAATGGAAGGACGTTGAGGGTTGCTTAACATCGACCAAGAACTGTTTGAATTACTACTTCACTGAGCTCAAAAATTGAGAAGGGCAACAAAATTTGGTTCAACGATCAATTGGCTGTAGTTTGGAGGAACTCAAAGGAGCTAGCCTTTTGGGTACATGAAATGAAAACCCATAGGCAAAAATAGTGCTAGGGTTTTAGGTAGGCTAATTACGTCCATTTCGTAGACCCAGTATGCGAACTGCTCTAGTCCTAGAATTAATCATTTGGCGTGATCCTTTTTAAAAAATTTTAGTTAAAGTTTAAAACAATGTTTTTTTTGTTTTAAATTTTTTCTATTTTCTTTGGTTTTTATGTTTTGTGTTCTTTTTTCAATCAACTAGTTTGTTTGTACTCGCACGTTGCCCGACCAGTTTTTATTTGCAATCCACAGTAAATAAGTCGCTTTATTGATCATTTTACAACTTAATGTATTTTTATTTAATTTTGAGATTAATAAATAACAAAAATGTAAAATTTAATTCTTGGTTTAAAAACGTAATATTTATTAATCTGAAATGAGTTAGAAAATTTTTTGGTACATGGTATTGTGTTTGAAGTCACGCGTTATGCAACCAATCTAAAATTTTCCATTGAGAGATATCTAGAACGTATATTATTATGAAATTTTGAGTTTAATAAATATCAATATTAAGAATAGAAACTGGATAAAAGATTCTTCATCACAAAGGAACTAGAAATGCCAACTTTTTAAGAATAGAAAGAGTATTCTTTTGGAAACTGGATAAAAGATTCTTCATCCCAAAGGAACTAGGAATGACAATGCGCAAAACTCGTGCTAGTTATGTCTTTATTTTTTTGATAATTTTATTTTGCAATATTCTTTCCATTTCATTTTAATTGTTTAGATTGCTGAAATAAATTGATGCATTTAAATAACTATTTATATTTTCATCTTCAAAACCAATCGTTTAATAAAAAGGTTATATCGCAAAAATCATATTAGAATTAGAATGTAGAGGGTTTGTTTGCAAGGAAAATATATACACCCTAGGGAAGGTCCGTTAGTTTTGTGTAACTGAAAATATAGTTTTGTGAACGTATAATTAACATCAAATGCCTGTGTTTTTGTTATTTAGTAGAGTTTTATAAGACATGCTAAATTTTTAATGTAACACTATACATTTAGTTTTATTTTTATTTATTTTTATAATATTGTGTTATTATTAATTATATTTATAATCTAGCCCCTATTTCGGGAAATTCTTTTAGCTCTATGTTTTACGTCGCATTAAATTGTTAGCAGTCTTGGCTTGAATGTCAACTCTCTTAACGCATTGTATAAATTCGACATATGCGCAGAAATACAAAATAGAGATAAAATTGTAAAGATACCATAATTGGTCACTTGTAAGTTCTAGCAAATCATTTACAATAATATAGATCTTCTCACAAATAATTATTTTCATTTAGCTCTATTGAAAGATTTCACCATTGAACTGCAAGTTTGCGCCCCTGAGCTAACCTTGAACTTGATATAAACTTAAAAGGAATGGCTTTAGATATATGCCGAAGGTCACGTCATCAGAGCCAGCTACCAGCAACCGGGTGATCGTGCTGGGACAGAACACGATGGCTGAACAAGTTGGAGAAGCAGGACACATGCATTAGGGATGTCTGAACAAGGAAATCCATCACGGATTGAGTGAAGAGAGAAAAGAGAGAGAAGTATGAGTGAAGAGAGAGTGAACTTAGTGTGTAATGTGTTGTTTGTAGGTGATGAGGTATAATTTTCTCCACATCCGTTTTTTCTACTTAGATAAACTCCAACAAATATATTAAAGCATTACGTTTGGTATTTTGATTTAAATTTTGCCCTCCAATCAAGATATGAATCAATGTATTTTGTGTTAAACTGTCAATCACACTACGTTTGATGCATTAGAGTTGACTGTAAAAGGGCTAAATATGTATTAGAACAAGATGTCAAAAATCTTTCTTCAAAGCAAATTTTTGCTAGATGGCAAGCCATTCTCTCAGTTTTCCATTTTGATATTGAATATATTAAAGGTAAAACTAATTCTCTACCTGATTTTCTAACAAGAGAATTTTTGCAGGGTCGATGATGCCACGGAAGAAAAAGGAAGAACAATTAACCTTACTCTCCTCCAAACAAATGACAAAAAATCCAGCCACAAACAAAGATGAAGCATCATCTTTTAAAGCCTCTCTTGAACCGGTACAATCACCAAATATTTATGCTTTAGTCGCCCAAAATCTCCAAACATTAGAGCCAATACCCCTTAAAGCAGTAAAAACCTGGGCCAATATTTTAGAAGAAGAACAAAAACAGAGTCTACAAGCCCAGACTTCTAATCCCATTTCTAACCTTGAAGCTTTAGCACAAGCTACTGGATTTAAATTAATAAAATCTGAACAAGTGGAGGCGATTAGCCCCATTACTCAAACTGTGGTGACCTCTAGTCCCACTCTTCCAAATAGAATGGTGGTTCAAAACCCTCTTCCTCCAAATCAGATGGTCACGAAATTACCATTTCTAAAAGCTGGAAACACTAAATATTTTAAAAATCACAGTTACGTTTATATTGTGTAGGTTGAACCAAAGTTCTGTAATGACAACCCTCAAAAGTTAGCCCAAAATATTTTACCTAAAAACACCAATTTTATCCCTGCATCTCCAGCTTACAACGAAAAATTTTATGAATTCATTCTTCTTGATACAGGATCTGTTTCCCTTAAACACCGTGAAACAAATGGAAACCCTACCCATTCAACTTGCCAAATCTTGAAAATAATTAGACCAAAAGGGTGGGGAAACCCAAATACACCTAAACAGTTTTCTTTACCTTTTAACCCCCCTTAATACACATATTGGGACTACAGAGATGCATGGTTCCAAATGTTTTCTTCTCAAAACAAACGTTTTAAACATTCTTGGTTCTTCTACTTCAAAAGAGGAGCCACCTATTACTTCCCAATGTGGTTCCTAAATTGGTGGCAAATATTTGAACCACAACCACAAATACTCCCAGCAGATGTACAAGAAAGTTATAAATTTTCCGAACCAAATTTAACACGGATTATAAGTATATACCAAACCTCCTTCACTTCTCTTCAATCTTTTCACTTTCTTGGATATACCAATGGAAGTTTTAATTTGCTAGACCTCCCCACGACAAATGACCCTCATTGGTTAGGCAAGGGTATACTAAATGGTGGAAGGTATATGGACCAAAGGAAAATAAATAATGATCATATAACATGAAAATAAAAGGCATTATAACAATTTTTGTTAAATTTTTAACAAAAAACGTTGTCACCAGTGAATCTAATTTGCGATTTGTACTATTTATCTACAACTCTAAAAATTTAATATGAAGAACTTTTTACGAACAGAAAGAGTACCATTTCTAAAACTAGATAAAAGATTGTTCATATCAAAGGAACTAGAAATGGCAACGCATAGTATTTCGTGCTACATAGGGTGTTTCACCAAAAAAAAAAAGAATTCAATAAAATAAATGTGGATTAAAACAAAATTTTTTTTTTGGTGGACATAAATAGTTTAGCAAATCTAAAAGTTCAATAAAAGAAAGTCCAATTTCAGAAGTTCAAAAGTCCGAACCTAGCCTAAGTAGTACTTCAACGACAGATACAACACTTTTGCATTTGCCAAATCTGGATATACCATACTTTTGGATTTCTGAAATAAAAAATCCCCCTACTTTTAGATTTCTGATTTTCTTTTTTTAAGTAGCAAACTATATATGTGTGTGAATTAGGGGGTGGGAGGGTTGTGCGAATGGGTGGGTG